AATATGTTATGTAATGTTTGCTGCCCCAAGAGTTGCACAGGCCTGAATAATTATTTTGTGATGTTGTCTCTCAAACACATTGGGACAGAATTTATCATCAGTTAATAAATAGGGGTGTAGCTATTTAGTTTAAGTTTTGCAAGTACTGAAATCCTAGTGCTTTTTGTCAAGCGTGTGTAACATTCAATAAATTTTAAAAATGCAAAGAAATTCACACATTCCTACGCATTTGTCTCTGTCCATAATATACCCAACTGTTGAGAAAGGAAATCAATGCAGTTTGAAGGATGTATGTGTTAGTTTGCTCAAACAATACAGGCCAGATACTATGGAAGGAAGGAAGGAAGGAATTCCCATCTAATGTATATGGTTTCTGCCTTTAATTTATTGTCTAAAAGCTATGGATTCTTGTTTATAACTATACAGATATTTTGGAAGAAGGGACTGTTAAATAAAGTGGGACCATTGCACTGAGTAAATATACCCAGGATCTGGTTATGCCACATCTGTGAAGAAGGTAGCATGTAGAACAGCATTCATGCATATAAAAGTAAAGACTCTCTAAGAGCAACTTGTAGGCATATTGATTACATGGTCACATCCATCTTGTTTTTGGGTATCAAGCCACAAATGGTTTGTTATTGTCTTTTACCAGATTGTTGTTGCTGCTGCTGTTGTTATTTCCCAGTCTAGATTACAGTTCTAGGATCGCCTGGTATTTCCATGCCCAGGTAACAATCAGATCCAACTCTCCTTAGAATTCTGAGACCAGCCAAGAAGTTAGTTGCTGCCACCTGCTCAAACATTTGTAGATGTACATTTCAATAAAAGCTGCTTTTTTCCCCCTGGGCATTTTATTGTGGTTTATCTGCTTATTTGTTTTGCCCATTTTCTTGAGCTTTTTGCTGAACATTACAGTTTCTTCTCCTGCTCTTGTTCTGGTTGATTAACTTTCCAAATAATCACTAAAAATAATTAATCAGTATAAGCATGATCACTGGATCACAGCCATCACCTTTAAGAGGCCTTTCGTGACCACTTCATGCAAATGATAATGCTTGGGATTTTCTGGGATTTTATACAATATCCATTCCTGCTTTCCTAACCTTTTTTAAAATTATTATTATTATTATTATTATTATTATTATTTTAGAATGTATTGAGAAATGAGATTCTTTTTATAATTTGCAAAATAATTGACTGCAACATATTTTTACAATTTGTAAATATTTTTACAAGCGTTTTCAGTATTTCTTATAAAAAAGAGTTGCTAAAGAAAGGAGGAATGTCCTAATACCTGATAATCCTTGCAAATTCTCCCCTTCCTCATATAAAAGGTGGCGGGGGGGGGGAAGAAATGAATCTGTGTGTATGTATGTGACTCATGACTTAATCATACATTTATGGCTTGTCTACTTGTCACCATAAAACCAATAGTGAATCAAGACGTGTATGTCTGAGAAAAAACCTCAGAAACATTCAGGAAAAAGATCTAGATTCAGTGATATATTTAAGGAATAAATTAATCCTATATTAATACTAAATTGATACTATATGGATTTTTTATATATTAGTTTTTTCTTTTATATTTAATGAATGTAGACTTTTTATATTATATGTAACTAGAGTATTTTATATTGCTGTGGATGTTTATTATATCTCATCAATAAAAGTATAATAATGTTTTCTTCCCTTCAAGGATCCACCCCCCAAATTGGAAAACTGGGGCAAAAAGGGAATATGTTATAATCCAAATATTTTATTTTATAGTTGAAAAAGAAAGAAAGGAAAGAAAGGAAAGAAAGGAAGGAAAGAAAGGAAAGAAAGGAAGGAAAGAAAGGAAAGAAAGGAAAGAAAGGAAAGAAAGGAATAGATAGATAGATAGATAGATAGATAGATAGATAGATAGATAGATAGATA